CCTTCATTTTTCTGCTACATGCAAGTAGAACAATGCACCTGATTGATGCCATATCCCACAAACTCCCCCCCCACTTATCATCCTCCTAAGCAGATGTACAGAATGCGTACCTCCTTCTTCCCCCTGCAATTACCAATTTGGGAGCGCCCAATTAAACTGAATCTCATTATCTATTTATGCGCAATGAGTTATACATGATTTATGTTGCAGTGTTGCGACAGCCAATCAGATTACGAGTTCTTGATCGGGGAAATGCTAACTGCTTATCGCAGGGGTTAAAAAGCAAGAATATATTCTGGATTTTGAAGCCCTTTGATCCGAGGATGCCACTTATAGAATCTTTATTAGTTAAGCTAGCATGTTGAAACTCTCCCCAAATATACTTCATTCAATTATCTACTTTTACTATATGGTGTAATAACTTTTACATCTATGATGATTTAAGATTGTGTAATTTTATTCTCAAGACAACACGTTTTATTTATTTTAATTTTTTTTATTTATTTACTAAATTCCAAATAATACAAATACAATCACAACAGTCGAAGACACCCCAAGGGGCATATGATGCCTTTTATACTAAACAAAAAATATTGACAAGTAGCAAAACTCATACAAGTAATCAGTGCTCATTAGAATTAAAAATCAACACTAAATCTTTCACATTTGGTTGGCCCCATCCTCCATCCTCCTCCATCCATGCTATAAAAGTGAATTTTTCACTCCAGAGATTTTTCTCCAGAAAAGTTAGACCTTGATTAAAGGCAGAATCAGATCTATTCAGAAATATTCTAAAATTGAAACAATTTTTTGCTAGGCTGCTCACTAGATCTGATTCTTTCTTTAAGTATAGATGTTAATTGTTGAGCAAATGTAATTTTAAATTCTTTTTGAAGGTAGAAAGAGTATAAAAATGAGTAATTTTATGAGGTAAAGTGTTCCACAGGTCTGACCCTGTCTTCCTTATAGAGTATTTTCCTATGTTTTGTTCTAAACGTACTAGATCTAAGATTGTATACTTGTCTGGTTTGAATGTGGTAGAATTAGTGATTCTGAGTTTATATAATAAGGTTTTGTCTCTTGGAGCTGATGATTACACCATAATAAATTAATTACCCTACATATAATTCTGCATATCTCTACCTCCAGCTACTGAGAATTTGAAGATTCTATCTGATGCCTTTAAAAAGTTTTAGAGAAAACCTTAACTGTAAAGGCCTTTTGTACACCCCCCCCCCCCCCCCTAAGAGCCTCTAGGGTCAATTGCTAATGAGATGATTAGTAAATAAATCCATATTTTGCATACAAGATTTCAATTGTTTATATTACATTTTAGCAATATTTAAAGCTTAAGACTGCTTTGCTATATTGATGAAGTATTTTGCTGACATCAGCACATTATATTTCGAATAAAGTTGACATCTTAGTTAAAAGAGTAACCTTGTTCTTTAAAACATTAATTTTTGACCATTCAAGTCCAAATTTATGGTTGTAAATTGATTAGATATGTAAAATCAATTGAAATGAGAAAAATAACTATTACCATTGACTCAGCACTTATCACAGCATTAATTTTTATCTGTTTCAAGGTTCAGTTCAAAGTTAATCATGTAAATGTGAAATGAAATCACTAAAACCATGTAAAAGCAAGTATATAAGTTCTTAAAACTAGATTCTTAAAATCCCTACTTATGGAATATTACAAATTCTGCTGACCTTGCAGAAAAAATGCTCAAGGTAACATTACTGCATATTTGTCAAATCTTCATCAGAACACATCAGACCAACATATTATGCATTAAAACATTGTATATACTCCAAAACAACCCCCCTTGGCTTTCTTCTAGATTAAACGCATCTCAGTGGCCCAAAGTGGCCTCTAAAAGCACTCCAATGGCCCCAAACTCATTCTAGAGGCCCCAAAAGCTTCCCAGTTGCCCCCCAGTGACCCCCAAAAAGTGACCCCCAGTGGCCCCCTAAAAGCATCCTAGTGGCCCCTGAAAGCATCCCATTGGCCCCCTGTGGTCCCAAAAAGCATCTCAGTGGCCCCAGGTGGCCTCTAAAAGCACTTCAATGGGCCCTAAAATCATTCTAGTGGTCCCCAAAAAGCTTCCCATTTGCCGCCCCAGTGGCCCCCAAAAAGCATACTAGTGACACCCAGTGGCCAAAAAAGCATCCAAGTTGTCCCATTATGCCCCCTAAAAGTATCCTGGTGGTCCCCGAAAGCATCATTTTGGCCCTCTGTGACCCCAAAAAGCATCTCAGTGGCCCCAGGTGGCCTCTAAAAGCACTCCAATGGGCCCCTATGGACCCCAAAATCATTTTAGTGGCCCCCAAAAAGCATACTAGTGACACCCAGCGGCCCAAAAACGCATTCAAGGGCCCCATTATGCCCCCTAAAAGCATCTAGGTGGCCCTTGAAAGCATCCTATTAGCCTCCAGTAGCCCCCAAAACCATCCTAGTGGCCCCCTGAGGCCGCCAGAAGCATGCAAATGGCTCTTCATGGCCATCAAAAGCAGCCTGGTGGCCCCCTGTGACCCCTAAAAGCATCCCGGTGGCCCCCAAGCCCTAAACATATTCCAGTGGACCCCCGTGGTCATGGGGATGGCATATTCACCTGGTTACCATAGCTAACATAGGCATAGCCAGGGGGTGTAATGAGTGCACCCCATGTAACCAATCTGTAACCAATAAAAATAGAACCATTAGATAGAAGAGTTTTAAAATGCATTTGACTCGAAGCTTCTAGCTCAGTTTTGAGGGAAGTTGTATCAATTTTTGTAAAATTAAACAAAATCCCCCCCCCCCACTGAGAGCTTGCTGCGCCCCTGATTAACAATTGCCCTTATGACATCAAAATATAACACAATCCAAATTAAATAATTGTCTATAGTTATTAGGTTATTTTCTGTCATCAAATTTTAAAAAGAATACATGTCAGTCAGATGGCCAAAATGTAACATTTCCTGAAGAATTCTCTTGTTTTCAGCGGATTGTTTTGCTACTTGCTGTTACCATAGCAACAGCGTGAATTGGACACTTTCATTACATTTATTCAATGTTTATGACCATACATGAATGAATGTAATAAACTAATAAACTCAACTAAAAGAAATAAACTAATTAACTAGTTAAAAGCATTAAAAATAATAATTTCGCAGATTTATACATCATGATTAAAATAAAATACACAAAAACAAACAGTAATGACGTCATAATTAAGATGCAAATAACCTATTTGCATATTTTATGAACTGTTTGATTGCTTCATCTATTACCTTTCATTTGGTGCAAATTTCATCGAAATCTGAGTAACAATGACGAAGATAAGGGCCAAACACCGAAAAGAGCCCCTAAAAGTGGGTGTGGCATATTTACTTTGTTACCATAGTAACGCTGCTGCGGATTCAGAATTGCCAACTTAATATATTCTTAGTGTGTTATCTATTACCTTCCATTTGGTGTGAATTTCATCGAAATCTGAGCAATAATGAAGGAGATAAGGGCCAAACACTGAAAAGAGCCCCTAAAAGTGGGTGTGGCTTATTGACTTGGTTACCATAGCAACGCCGTCGCGGATTCAGAATTGCCAACATCATTTTTCTTGGTAAGTATCACATATAGTTCATAAAAATATATGTCGCTTAGCTCGCCTCTAAAAAGGACACGGAATTACCTTAGCTCCCATACTATAACGTTTGCATTAAATTGTTGCCACTTATTACAGAATGTTTTCAATAATTGGTTCAAGAGAAAAACATTGTTGAATTCAGTTCACCATATCGATACCTTTGCATAAATTGTGATGTCATCAATATTTCTTAGGGGGAAGGGTCAGAATGTAACAGTATTCATCTATAGTCCCAAACAAATTCGCTTTTTGTTTCTATTTAATTCATACAGATGATAAACTTCTCAGCATTTTAACCCTCATAAGACATTCTTGCAAGGTGTGCTATGTAGCATCCTGTATCCCACATTCTCTATTCTCGACAAAACCATATATTTACCTGGGAGAGAAGGCTGATATATTGTCTTTACGATGTAATTTATTCATTTAATTCGATGATTCAGATGCTAATGGCGATATACAACACACAATTCAATTTTGCACTTGCATTGTATGCGTGCAAGAATTTTTTATATATATATTTGCCCCAAAACGACCGTTGAACTGTATCTTTAATGTAAAATAGTATAATTTTTGTGACGGAATATCTAAAACATCTTCCAACGTGAAAATTTGATTCTCAACAGGTTATTGCGTTCATATCTGAAATGATTTACTAAATGTGACATCTGAGACCATTTACTAAATGTGACAGAGATGCTGGGTTAAAAATGGGAGTGTCACTTTCTGTCAAAGGCCATTTTTATAAGTTCCGCCTTTATTCCAGGAATGTTTTGGGAGAGAAATCTCAAAAGCAGATAACTTAAAATAGGTATTCCAATATAAGCCAAGGGAATGCTTGATCCAATTTTGATCCTAACTTAAATATTGATATCAAATAATGATTCCAATAAATAGGAAGCAATGACACATCAAATCTGACAAGCAAAATTGATTCTTGATTTAAGGAATTAAGTTTCATACTTGACAGATAATTACTTTCGCCGGTTGATTTGTGAATCTTTCAACACATCATTAAGTAGTAAGTGGTTCAAATATGGCATTTTACTTCTAATGAAAATAGAAGGAAACGTCAGTATTCAGTAATTTTTTGCAATCGGCTTTAAATTCATTTCTACTTCCATAGAATTTTCTTATTTAAGTTCATTCCAGATAAATTGCCTCTGTGCTCAAATGAATTTTTTATCAAATGCTTATTCAAAATTAGTAGATTTAAGACCGAATCTAATTCCTGTATATTTTATAGAGCAAACAATAAAATATTCGTTGCAAGATATTGGAAATTATTTTGGGGATTCCATACTACTGAGTTTATGACTTCAAATACATCAAAGCATTTTTTAAATTCGTTGATTTTTACCAGAACCAGAATCAAAAAGTTATTCATAAGCTTTAGAAGAGCCGTTGCTTGATGCCATTTATATTTATGCGAAATAATATTTTCCAAGATTTGACCCTTGAGGTACACCAAGTGATACTCAGGAAGGATTTGATACAAAACCATTTATTCAGTTGTTTAGTGTTGTTACTTACTTCTACCATTGGACAGTATTGAATTGTACGGGATGCATTGATACGGTCCCCAGGAGCAAATCGTTATGATTATCGACATTACAGGAATCACATTTCATGCAATTAGAGCACGTCGATTTAGTAATCGGAAGAGGGACAATATACAAATACAATATATGAATATACAATACACTTTCTTCATCCTAGATGATACACACAGTACAATGGATTTTTGAGACAATTTTTATTTTATTGTTGTGTAATTTCAAATGCTGACACGGTTTTGATATAATTTAATATAATTGTACAACTATAATATACTACTATAATGTTAAATATCACTGGTATGAAGAAACATTTTAAAGCATGTTGCATAGTTCTTCTAGGAATATACATATCTAAGGTAAGAATTAAACCATATTAAAGTCTATGACAAATGTAGATTAAAGAGTACGTAAAATTACAGATTTCACAATTCGTATATAATAAAGGTCTCACGCACTGGAAATATAAATTTAAGAAAAAAGTATAATTGATGGAATTCAAAACTAAAATCGCAGCCTAAATTCTACTAAATTCTAAATAAAAATTAATTGATTAATTTTTTACCGAAATCTATAGAAGCCAGTGACAGAGCGCAGCAGGGTGGTTTTTCGTTTTGGGAGGTTTTCTCGAGAATTTAAATTAACGCTTGCAAATCTTCATTGTTCTCCTACTTTTACCTATTCTTGTAAATACCCAAGTCATCGCGGAATGCCTAAATAAGCTGACAATTCATGCATCGATACATTAATATTAATATTATATTTGAATACGAATGATGGAAATAATTTGTGAAGGAATCGAAGGAGGACAATTTTAATGGCTTAGGTTGTATATAATTTTGATGCTTTTTATCAGTGTATCGTTTTAAAATGTAAAATTTCCTGGTCCAAATAGAAGAACTTGTATACCTTATGTTACAACTTGTATAAAATCAGCTGAATCAAAATGAGTGCGTATCTTATCCGGGGTATCTTAATATTCGCTGCCATGTGTCACCAAATTAATTTGAAGAACATGATGTTCTATTCTATTTACAAATAAACTAATTTACCTCCAACTCAAAATTTTTGAAATCATTTATCGGAAATGCTTGGTTGAAAAGAAATACGAGATGTACTCAAAACATATACTTTGGAATATGTATAATTACATATAATTATTTCAATGCTGGCTGTGAGACTCGGTTGTAATATATAATATGCTGCTCTGTTTGAAAATCATGAGCCAAACAGATCGACGACGGCTCAATTTATGCAAGTAAACTAATTAGCTTTATTTCTATTTCGCAAATCTTTCATATGATATGATATGATTTAATATGATACCAATGATCAATTGGCAAAGCTACCTTAGATTTGAAATGTCTAAAGATGCGTAATTATAAATAAAGGACCCACGGTCCTGTGCTCACACAGTTTGGAACCTTCAGAGGAATGTATATCCTGACTTTCAAACAAAAATATTGATTTGGATTTGTAGTCTTGAACTTTGAGAAATTTAAATAGCACAGTTGTGTGACCTAGTTTGAGGACATTTGACCTTGAAATTTTTACTTATTCAGAGCTCAGTAAGGTCTTTTGTGATTAAGCTGACCAAAATTAACATCCAAAAATCAATTTGAAAAATAACTTATTTTTACCATTTTTTGACGTCAAATATCTCAAAAACGGTAAAAATTTGATGCTGACATTATTGAGCAATAAATCTATTAATGACGTAATTCATTGCAAGAAATGATCAAGTATAAGGCAAACTTTGAGAAACTTGTCAATCACAAAACCTGCCATTGACTTTATACATGAGAATGTTTCCTGAAAATGACGAAGTCCTACTTTTTGTCAAATTTTATTTAATTCCAAGAGCTTTGAAATATTCAGAGGACATAAGTTGCATATACAGCAACTACTACAAGTTATTTGAAAGTTCTTCTCCAACAATAGAGTATTTACAGAAAATTTGACTTTTTGACGTCAAAATCAGCAATTTCTCGGAAACCGGTGTGAAAGAAATGATGGTCCACCAGGGATTATGGTCCCCTTTCTTAACGGCCCTTACTGGCCCTGGTTGCGTATAAGATAATGAGGGAAAGAGTTGTATTTAGGTCACCATATGTGGATATGACTCAATCCGAATAGCAGTTTTAATTTGTGCGGCCAATGTTGACGGACAGACGGACGGACGGAGGGAATTGACGCGGGGTACGTGCTACGGCTAGCGCAGCATCTGCCCCGGTCATGGGGCAGATGCTGCGGCAGACGGGGCAGATTCTACGGTACACGGGATAGATGCTGCATCGCCCTTCCAGAAGCAACTGTACTGGGGTCTTGCTACGAAATCAATTTTTTAAATGAAAACAATCAGTTATATCTTACGCAAGAGTGTTCAACATTGCATCACAAACATTTTAAAAGTAAAAAAATGATACTGGTATGTTTATAAGTTATTTCTATTCACCGTTTAAAAGATACAGGTGACATGTATTAATCTGTACACAGTAAGTAGATGTGCACTTTAGAGACGACATACCACAGGTACGCATTAGGCTGAGGGACACGTCACACCTTTACCACTTCAGATATAAAAAGGGTGACGCAAACACCACCTTTATCACTACAGATATGCACAAATTAATAACTTCAGTCATGCAAGCATAGAATCTGCTTCAAAATATCATTAAAATGATTCGTCAAAAACTAAGATGCATACATTTACACAAAAAAACAAAGATTGCTAAATGGATTTAAATGTCTTTATTTCTTAAAATTCAATAGTACATATTAACAATATGATGATATTACGTCATTTTTATCTATTGAGACCCTTCAATTCCAAAATACATACACATATAATAATTTCATCTTATGTATCTCATGGACACATTCTATCAATATGATAATATTATCTTATATATCTCACCTTCCAATTCAATAATACATAAAGAATATGATGATATTATCTTAAAAGACCCTTCAAAATAATTATACATAAATGATATGATAATATTATCGAATATATCTTATGAGACCTTTCCATTAAATAATGTATAAACAATATGATGGTATTATCTTATATATCTCACGAGACCTTCAAAATAATGATACATAAATGATATGATAATATTATCTTATATACCTCATGAGACCTTTCAAATAAATAATGTATAAAAATATGATGATATTATCTTATACAGTATATCTCACGAGACCCTTCAATTTGATATTAAAAAAAACAATATGATGGTATCATCTTATATATCTGACCCTTCAATTCAATAATACACAAACAATATAATAATATTATCTGACATATCTCATAACACTTTCTAATTCAATAATGTATAAATAATATGATGGTATTATCTAATATATATCAGGCCCTTCAATTCAATTATGCATAAACAATATAATATTATCTTATATATCTCATGAGCCCTTTCAATATAATAATATGTAGACAATATGACATGTATGATGATATTATCTTCTACATCTTACCCTTCAATTCAATAAAACATAAACAATAAACAAACAAACATCTCACCATTCAATTTTATAATACATAAACAATATGGTAATATTATCTTAAATATCTCACAGACCCGTACAATTCAATAATACATAAAGAATATGATGATATGATCTCATATATTTCACAAGATCCTTCAAAACAATTACAGTAAAACCTGTCTGATGGAATAATACCTCTCTGTAGGGAAAACCTATGAACAAGGAATGCTTTTCAAAAGAACCGAATATTTTTCCATTGACTTATATGTTAATGGACGGACCAACGGGCGGACGGACGAATGGACGGACGCCTGGTAGATCCCATAGGCTCACTGTGTGAGCCAATAATAACGGAATGCTTACAATACAGAGCAACCAAAATGAGCTGACAAGGGCATCCAACAGAATATTAAACTTCACACTGTTATCTTTCCAAAATGTATTGATGCCACCAATCAACAGACGACACGCGGGGTCTATTTTGATTGGAAGACATGGATTACTGACTATGTCACGAAATGCAAATTTAACGATGCTAATGTTATTTGTAATAAATTTATGTTTTGATTTCAGACACTGCTCAGCTACATCCAAAGTAATACAGTGAGAATATCACCTAGCCCTGCTAGATCAAACACCAAACATGTTGACAACGCGAGCAATGGAAATCGATATTTAGAAAAACCAAGAAATCTACTAATAACAAGCCTCTCAAGAAACCTAAGTACAAGCCTATGCAACAAATCTAAGGTGAGGTCGAAGTCTATGTTCACTGGTAATATGTTGATAGACGAGACTCATAAATTGCTTTATTGTTTTGTGCCAAAAGTTGGTTGTACAACATGGAGGAAAATTTTTGCAGTTTTGTCAGATGAAGCCATCAGAAATAAAACCAATGGAAATCCTGAAAATATAGATGAAGATCCACACTACGGCTTGCATTTTAAAACTATGAAAGATTACAATAGTTCACAACAGGAAGTCATTATCAAATCATATTATAAGTTCATGTTCGTTAGGGAACCATTTGAGAGATTAATTTCGGCCTATATTGATAAGTTCTATGTCCCAGAACCCGATGGATTCTGGAAGGCGTGGGGGAAACTGATCATCAATAAATACCGTGTCAATGCAAGTGTTGCGTCAAAAAGCTGCGGACATGATGTGTCGTTTGATGAGTTTCTTTCACATTCGTTCTCCAAAATTGAGCAGTCAGATATAAGTGGAGGTAACACACATTGGACATCAATTCAACAGATCTGCAATCCATGTGGCATAAACTACGACTATATTGGCCATATGGAAACAATGAAGAGAGACACTGAACTGATACTGGAACAAGCGAATGTTAGTCATTTAATCACCCAGCATAAAGCAGGCATCAGTAAAATAAAACAAAACCTACACTTCAGTGAAAAAGCATTGGTAGAATCTGCAAATTGCTTGAATACTACAGATGCCATACAACGCATTATCAATACACTAACGTACAAAGGGTTTTTACCATTTAATTCTACAATCTCAGAATATATAAAAAATCTTAAGCTGAATAGCACGAGTATAGATGTTAAACGAAGAAATGAATACATGATAAAACAATTTAGCTCTAAATTGGATGATATTTTATCAAAAGCATGGGAAAATAAGCTTAAATCCAACGCATCAGCACAAGATTCTTTCAAAGAAAATTGCCTTGCAAGGCTTAAGAAATCTAACATTATAAGAAAGATTAGTTCTGAAAAGATAAAGAGATTTTTGGAATACTATTATCTAGATTTCGAATTATTTGGGTACAACTCATCAATCTACTCATGAATTAAATTAATCATACATCGTATTCCAATATATGGGCCTAGCAAATATATTGACCTAGCCAATGTATGGACCAAGCCAAAGGGCAGCTGAAGACGCATTTAGGTAATCAACTGATCAAAAAACAAATGACCATCGCATAGTGTACAGCTATGAAAGAAAATAATGGATGTCTAACAACTGCTCTAGCTTAAAATATATATCACCAGTATAATATGAATAAAAGAAACTCAACTGAAGGGATTTCAATGTTAAACCGGGTGTAAAGATTCATCATTCAAAGTAGTTACCGGGTGTGCGAAAAAAGTAACCAAAACAAATCATAATAACTTAGTCATCCAGTATGGGTTTTAAATCATTTTGGCACAATTGAACCCTGCCCAGTGTTCTTTCAATCCACCAAGTTTCATTGGTTTTCCCAAATGGCCAAGATTTTATGACCATTTTACAAAAGATGCTCAAAATGTTGGTCTTTTCTTACAAAGAAAATTGACTCATAAGGCTTAAGAAATCTAACATTATAAGAAAGATTAGTTTTGATTAGTTACTAGTTTTAATATCACTGTAATTAGTATATCTATGTGTATGTTGGCATTTGTGCCATTCAGTTCATTGGTTGTCCAGTTTCAATATTGATTCAAAAATGAGTCAATGTTTTTAGTTGATACTCGTTGCGCAAGTAGGTCCATGTGTTTCTTTTCTTTGCAAAAAATAATCCTTTGATTTTTCTTGGTTAAGTAATTTACAAAGGTACAGAAATTTTATATATCTACGCTTGTAGAATACTTTTAACCTCTGACGACTGGATGTATGTACTTGAGCCAAGAAATGATAACTGTGAGAGTCCTCATAAGCATGTAAATTAAAAATTGGACAAAACAATATTGTTTGTTGGTGTTGGATGTAAGTTATATCATACGATTATATTATTCGTATACAAATAAAATAATAAAAAAAGTTCTCCCTGAATTAGTCCAGGAGAAAATCAAGAAACAATGTTCTTATGTACACTAAAAATTGTTTTTTCAAATCATTGAGTACAATTAAGAAATATCTTAAATTAAGCTTGACATTAATTTTCATTTATTCAGTCTGATATATTGGTGATAAAGTTGAATGTTTCTCTTGGATGGTAACTTAGCATCAAATGTTGCTTTCTGAACATATTCTGTATATTCATCCCTAGATTTCCTTTTCACAGTTGGTGGCGTCACATTGTATGAACTGTCCAGTGAAAACATACTGGTTTGAATCCTGCAAATAAATATGTATACCAATAAGGGAGTTATTTTGTTAGTTAAGGGACCAGGTTGGATAGAGAGAAGTTCAGGGTAAGTCAGAAATATTGTCACATTTTCCCAATATGTCAGTTCAATGTCAATTCAAATGTCAGTCCTATTTCATATAAAGTCCAACAGTCCAGACTTTATTATTTCAGTGTAATTCTATCATTATAAAGGTTATCTGTGAAAAAAGTTGTAAAAGATGACGTATGAAGACGCGAATTGATTTTGCTCCCACTAGACATCCCGTCCTGGTTATAAATTTGAACGGGACACATGCCTTGGTCACAATTGCTACGATTTTCACCACGGCGCCCAGCATATACATACTTCTATATTTGAACATCTGATATCGCAAGCTTTTCTTGGGAGTGTTACACAGGCACAAAAATCCTTAGTTACAAAGCTTTTTTACTAAATGCTTTGTAACAGGTACCTATAATTAACCTATCAAATTGAATATGTAGATGATAAACAGAACAACCTTTACCCATTTAGTTGGTAAGGTAACAATAATATTGCCTATCAACGGTATATACAAATAACAAAATAACATGCAATTGTATAATGTAACAAGGCTTAAAAAATCAATATTTTTTTAGGTTTACTTACAAATCTGTGACCTGACCAGCCTGTGGCTCAATAGGTTTTGTAGCATCCCTACCAAGCTTTGTGTACCTATGTATAAATACAAAAAAGGTATGGTTAATCAATAGTGGCTGGTCAAACAAAAAGTTAATGTATAAATATTTTAATAAATAATGGAGTTTAAATGAAACATTCAACTATTGATTGATATTTTATATAGTCAGAAAGTGTAAGTTCTCAGTTGTTGTTCTTACTTTTTAGCTCAAGGTTTTTTTAGTTCAGTCTTACAGATAGTGTGCAATAGTTTGAGTAGAATCTCAGTATACTGTACCTGCTGTAAACAGAAAGATTGTGATGGGTCGGTATCTCTGGCTCAACACCATATGTGTCCTGCATACGTGGGAAAATATCCTAAAAGCAGGTATAATCAAACATTCAATATCTTTCGAAGGGTATATAATATGTTTCTTAAATGGTACAAACAAATTGGGCCTTAATTGAAGAAGTATTATTTATTCCTTATTCAGCATGAGATGCATTCACATGCTGACACATTTTGACTCAACCTCCTAACAATAAACAGAAGGTCAAATAGCATATGTTATCTGCATTCAAAAGAATATTCTTGGTCTTTTAAGTGTTTTCTAGAGTTGTCAATTGTACTTTATCACTTCTTCACCTCATTCCATCCTCTTGAATCAATCAATGATATTAACACTCCCTTAAGAAAAAAACCATGCTTTCCATGGGAATTACCAGTAGCCCATGGTAAATACAGGTATTCCATGGAAGTAACCATGGAAAACCATGATATTTTCCATGGTAATTACCGGTATTTCATGGAAAAAACCAATGTAATAGACTAGATGCGAGTAGGAAAAATCTTGATTTACGCCATTAAATATTCAAAATTCAGTCAAAGCGATGTTATATTTGAAATCTACATGTAAAAGTACATCTAGAAATATCGTTTCGAAAATTGTTTATCAAGTTTGAAAATTTAATTATGTTTGAAAGTGTGACTTCTAGTTCGGGTTGATTCTCCATAGAGCCCATGTTACAAAATTACAAAAAGTGAAATATCTTTTCTTGTATTGGTCAGATAACATTTTCATTTACTGGACATATTTTGATTTGCATAACTATTAGATACATAAGGGTTATATGAAAATTGAACCACTAAAACAGATGTAATTTAAGTTAAAGGGAACTTTCCTCTATATCCGCCATGCTATCTGACCCGAACGAGCCACCTGGTGGTGAAACTGGTAACTACCTACTCGCATCTGCGTTATTGTCCATGGTATTTACCATGAAATACTGGTTCTCCATGATTTTTGGTCATGACATATCTTGGTCAGGGATCTGCATTATAACATCAACCAATCAACCATTTTAATTATATTAAAAACCTGGGATACAAAGTTGCTAAAATATATCAAATTATTTACATATTTCTGATCAAATATTTAATGAAAACTTGGAGTACCAACTCCATGCCTACAAAATGCAATGAAGTCCATGGTTAGACCATGCCCTCCTGAGAATGTAATCAAGTCCAATGGTTTGTACTTCTTCAAACCTTAATGAGGGTATCAGATATAGTGAACAGCCTTAGTACAAAAATTATTTCAAGCTTCCTAAAACTTGGGAACAGTAGTTCATATTTCAGTTTACGGGCTTCGCTGGACAAATTACCAGAAAAGCAGGTTTCACTGTATATTTCACCAGAAAAGCATGGAATCCTGATTGCATTTTGTAAAAAGCATGGAATCAGGATTGCATTTTGTAGAAAGCATGGAATCCTGATTGCATTTTGTAAAAAGCATGGAATCCTGATTGCATTTTGTAGAAAACATGAGTTGATTGCAATCAGGATTCCATGCTTTCTATATATGTATTTTATCCGCTTAAGCTCTAATACTTGTGTTAATTGAAAGACATTCTTTATCTTTTTAATCGGTAAATCAATTATTCATAATTCTTAATTCTTTTAATATTGCAAAATCATAATTTAGTTATAACCTTTAATTTTCATGTGAAACCAAAGTTATAATTCCAAGGTAGAATTTGATATAACGAGGAATTAATGTTAAGAGCATATTCTAAAATTGAAATAACTTTTTTCAATTCAAACCATGAATCCTAATTCTATGAATATCTAAAACTAGTAATGTTATAGCAACTTGAAAACTTAGTAAAACTTGAAAAACTGGTAATTACCATGGAAAATTTCATGGTTTTCCATGGTTATTTCCATGGAATACCGGTATTTACCATGGAACACTGGTAATTTCCATGGAAAGCATGGTTTTTTTCTTAAGGGCAGGATTCAACCTCATCTTAACGGAAATATAATTTTGAGAAACTGACATGCAAAATGTCACCACCTGCCATTTTTTACAGATGCCATTAATTACAGACATCAAACTTCAAATCTAGACAACACCGTCCATAAAAATGTTTGAGACTATAATAATGTGTCAGGCCCCAGGCTAGGCAAAGTTAACGTTTTAGAGATTTTAACAATGAGGATTTTGCTGCATTTTTTGTTTATAAATATTAATTATCAAATCAACTGAACTGGAACTTGTCATGCTGCTTACTCTCTAAGCAATTTTTTCAAGTTCTGATTTTTTCAGAAAAGAATGTTTGTACCAACTTTTAAGAGAGAGATAGCTGCCTACCTTAAGTGAGAGATAACCAGCAGGTGTCTCTGCAGTCTGCACATATTCAGAGTCAAAGAGACTTATGTCTCCATCTATATCTGAACCATCACTACTGCTACTACTGGTACCTTCAGAGGCCTGGGAGCCCACAGACATGGTAGAGTCTTTGCCAGAGATGTTAGGGTTAAGCTGAACCCCTTCGCTGCTGGAAATAAGAGGGCATTGTCGAGAAAAATAGAAATAAGGTGAATAGTTTGATGTTTAAGGAAATGGTGCATTTTCATTTGGGCAAATTACCACTTATACAGTATTTAATATTAGGAATTCCATCCCCAGTAGAGAATGATTGTAACATACTGGAACACCCTGGCCTGAGACCTCAGAATCAGTTGTCACAAATGGCGGATAATGGTCTGTATTTGAATCAATTTTCTTAGTCTGCATATTCAAAGATGCAGTATACCATAGGTTTCTCTCCCAGACAATCAATCATGTCTAATCATTATTGCTTATGTATTATAAATTTATTTCAATTTATTTACATTCCTCAACAAAACATTCTACCACAATTTAAAGAAAGATTTTGGTAAAAATCTTTCGCAAATGTTTCATTTTAGGTTGGCAGGTCTGTCTATGTAAGATTGATATCCATGTAACATAACCTATTTGGCATTTCTTCAATTTTACTTTGTGCCATTTTAAAATTCAGCTGCCATATTGAAAATTCTTTATCAAACAGAGGTACTATATCTCTAGGCATCATCATATAAAATTCTATCCAAATCCGTTCACTGGTATTTGAGTTATCAAAGATTACATTTTTTATGAAAAATGGTGGCCATTTTGAAATTCTTTGTCCCTAGGCATCAGCATATAAAATTTGAACCAAATACAACAACTAGTATTTGAGTTATCTAAGATTACATTTTTTAAAAAATGATGGCCATTTTGAATTTAGTGGCCATTTTGAAAATTCCTTCTCGAGCAGAGGTCCTACACTCATAAGGCATTAGCCTATAAAATTTTAATAAAATCTGGCAACCGGTATTTGAGTTATCATCCGAACACACGAACGGATGGACTGATGGCTTTATTGAAATAATCGTTTTGACCCTTGTGAATGATAGCCAAAATTACAAAAAAATGTATCATTTCTTTATTCCATGGATGCTAAATGTATATGGGGATATAACACAAGATAATTTTGGTAATTTTTTGGGTAATTTTGGAATCGTATCTGACTGATATGATGTGATTACCTAAAGTTTAGAATTAACGCCTACAATGGTTTGACAAATGAAAGCCTTGCCTAATTGGACTGCCAGAATATAATTCTAAGCATTATGAGCTTTTAATGATTCAAATGTTTTCATCAATCACTTTGTATACAGCTGTTCAGTTTGAGTAAACACTTGAGATTTTGAATTATATGTGGTTTTATTGATTTTATTTCGAATTTATAAAAAATTCATCCTATTTACAATATTTTCATAGCATATCCTTTGATTTTCTCAGGCTATCATTTTTATCCACTCATGGATATCGCCATGTTCACTCATTTGCTGCGCTCACTCGTGGAGATGGGCACCATCCACTAACAGATAAAAATTATATCCCTCAAAAATCATACGATATCCTCTATATATACTGACATTCAGTTCCATAGAAATATTTCTTTATATTTTTAGTGTGTTTTACATAAGATTGGTGCAACCATGTTTCATTTTGTTATTTTAATATTTTATTTATAATTGTCAAACAACGAAGTTCACAGCAACTGCCTCAAAAGCCAAATAACTTAGTTACTACTGAGCTAATATTTTAAATCTGTTTGTACTTTTATGTTTTTTATAGATATGTTGCTATTCTCGAAAATTATGAGCCAAAAACAAGATTGATGATGCCACAATTAATGCAAACTGGTATCTCCTTATTGAAGCTGCTGATCATTTTTTTCTGGATTCCTAAAGGAAAAATGCCACTTTTATTCTCACTACTGTACCCTAGGATTAGTGATATAATATATGTTTTTGTATTGCAGAGAAAATTCAAAATCTATAAGACTTCATGCCTCATTTTTATTCAAAATGTTTAGAAACATGTTTGAAGAAGGTCAACTAATGATAGAAAGGACACCTGTTCGTGTTTGAAAAATCTGGTCAATTGATTTTAATTTGTAAGGAAAAATACACTCGAAAATTTTAGAACATGAATTATATACAGATGGTAGGATATTGGAGAAACAAAATCTCCATTCCAATACTGTGGAAAATACATGTACAATTCCTGAAAAGAAAGACATCTGTTTTTGCTTGCTCAAGAGTTAACCTTAAAGGTTTAAAGTTTGTATCTGTAAATGTATTGTATACATAATGTATCCTTAAATGTAAGCATATTTTCCATTCCATACTTGTATTCTTGTGCTGTATGAGCCTTAAATTTTAGGACATTTTTAGGTCATTTTATACTTTTTGCACATCAAATGACCAGGTTTTGTATGGCAAGTGATTTACACAGATATATATTTCACCATGAGTACTTTTATGAGTAACATAAATAGAATATGTTTTCTTTCAACGGAAGTCCCTTTGATAATAAAAATATCAATCCAACTCTCCAAAAGTATGGATTAGGACCCCACCTTGTCACCTTTTTAAAAATGTAGATGTATTTTCTAGAAAAGAGGATCTTCAGTTTTTCTCAAATTAAATACATCAAAAGTTTCTTCTACATAATATCAACAACTTCTGAAAAGGGAAAGGGTATTGAAATTAAAGTTAAAAACCACATATTCCATGTTATTTTAACATGATAGTGAAAACTCACACTCTCCATTGTTTTCAGCATAATTTTGGTCATAGAAAATTGATATCTTTAAAACTAGACATTCAATACCATTCTACTTTTGAAGGAGTTTTAGACCCCACATTGAATAATCTTTTCATGCAATAAAAATCAGAAAAAAACAGAAAAAGAAGATCCTCTTTTGTGTAAATGATACGATGTCAGATACCGTACATCACGGCATTTTACTGCATATTTACATCCATACTTATTTTTAAAACCGCGATATCTCGACAGTAAAATCATATTTCTCTACATATGACGTGCACGGACCTGGGGACAATTCGGGAAATACGGGCTTATCTCAGCTTTGAGCGTTAATCTCTGCCTTATCTAAAGGCTAACTATGTGTTTTATATATCATTTTGAAGTATTTTTTATTCGCATTTCAGTGAAATTATTTTTTCTTCAAAATTTTGATGGGATCCAACATTTTTTAAGTTAAATATATCCCAACATCGTCAAATACGCTGTAAGACGTAACACTTTACGCTTACAGGGCTAGTTGAAATTGGGATAACTTTTGAAATAATGATCAAAATCCCACTAAAATTTATTCAATGGAACATGTTCATTTATGACGTCACAATTGCTTAACGGCACCAGCTCAAATTATCGTATACGAACGCTTTTAAAATTTTCAAAATTGTGTAAGGTTTTGAAGGCGCATGGGACGAGCAATAAGTTTACCTTCATTTAACCTTCTAATTTAAGTCTGATTTGAAAGAAAAATTAACTGCACAATATTGTCATGGCGATTTACAAAACAATAATCAGTTTGTTTATTTTGCAAATAATATTAAAATAAGAGCTGGTTTTCGAGCCTTGAAAAAATGTGACGCATCGATTTTTTACCACAAATTCCATACATATAGATTTTTACCAACACCCCAAGTGGATTTCTTGACCGTTTTTCAAAATTCAAAAACATTTTAGAAATATTGTCCTCGAGATCTTACTACCCTGTGAATTTTGTCATGATTAGATAAGGATAAAGAATTTTATTTTTAGGTTGACTAATCTTTACAAAAATGTGACGCTTGTCGTTTTTGACGTTGTAAGGCTGTTTGCGCCCTTTGCTGCTCATTGTTTTGTCTTGGTTTTTGACGCCATAATGTTATGCTAATTGTCCCCAGTTTCGTGCGACGTGTAACAGTCTTTTGTCATTAGTTGGACATATATGTCCATGAAATATTTTGCCTATCAGAATTCCAAATAATTGATTTGGATCTCTTTAAATGAGAATCACACAACACGATTATGCGAGTTTCTATGCTAAAACCGGGTGTGGACTGTTTTAAACTAAAAATTTTAATTAATTTTAAACTAAAAATGAGGATAACTTTTTCATTTCTGAATGGATCTTTCTCAAATTTTCACAATATTCAAATTCATTATTTTGAAAAAGACAAACGGATTCTCTGTGATGACGTCATAATATAACAATGCTAACTTAATGCTTATGGTATGAGTACCGTAATCCAAAACCAAATTCGAAAATTCATATCAATACTTTGCACATATGGCGTTCGTGATCAACTTTAAAACGCTTATCCCCCATAGTGTTATACTATCGTATATCAAAATGTACCTGTTCATATAGGGGTTCGATTGATCTACATCAAATTATAGGGAGTCAGGTTACTTTTGAGATATCAGCGTCCATTTATTGTAACTCACGTTTGCTACCATTTCCTCAATTCTGAGATGACGGGCAAACGCGTAGTAAAACACGCTCACGTCGGAACTATTTTGACCTACATCGCTATTTTCGTAATTCAAATGAAAGTTGAACTCCTCCTCTTTATTTTGATACCAAATAGTGGCATACTAGGTACCCTAGAAGCCAACTATTCTCTGATTTCCAAAAATCAACGAAAATAACAACATTTCAGAGATTGACAGTTCCGTCTAAGTACAAGCTAATTGGTCATTATGAATGGCATTTTATGAAATCTTTTAAAATATAAGTATATTCAGTACAAATGCCCTCCCCTAAGTGTATAGATCTTACTCTGCCTTTCAAACTCCAAGACACAACATCTAAAGATGCGCTACCATAGTATCATAATGGTACAATAAAGAGCAGAATATTGAACCTCAAATTGTTACTTGTATCTTTCCAAAAAGTATGGATGCCACTTATTAACAGACAATGATACATAAGGTAAATTTTTACATGATAGGAAGGCATGAGTCACTTCAATTTTATTTAAATTCTTGAAAATCCAGGAAAAATGCTTATGTCTTATCTCACATCCTTGATCAGCCAGCCATCTAATACCTGGCTTACAAGTGTAGATTCAGAATGGAGGGGCAACACAGCGGCCTGATGCAAGATTAACAAGCAAAATGTCACCACCTGCCATTTATTACAGACACTGACTGTTGACCGCTGAACACCAACTGCCTAACAAGTTGGAGACTATATAACGATATCTCATCACTTCTGGTGGTGACATAAAAAACATAAAACAAGCAAAAATATATAGTACATGTATATATAATTACCCTGACTCCTCATGTCTCCTCCCAGGTCTGACTCTAACACAGAATGGACTGTAATCAGTGGGGCTTGTCACCTTAGGCATAAAGTCTCTGAAACATAGAAACTGATAAACTTAAAAATTGTTCAAAAGGGTTATAGTCCATACAAAATATAAAAATCTTTGATCTTTGATAAGGATTGGTAAGTTTAAACTCCAAACGTTTTTCTCGAATAGTCATCTAAAATTGTATATGTAAGAATAATATAATAAAAAGTTCTACCTGACTGAATTTGACATGTTGACCACAAATAGTTCATCTAAACATGTCAGTTCATTTGGTTTGTAGTATTCGGCAAAACTGTCAATTATCTCAGACTGTGTACTACATGTGACATTGTGCTCTGGGGTCTTGCTTACTGAAGACATACAATAAGATTTACTTTATTACAGATTTTTTTCAAAATATTGAAAAGACCACTGAATTTTTGAATACTTTGAGAAAGTATGGTTGTATTTTTTCAATGGGTTGTTTTTTCATCCATTGATTTTCAACTTTTCAATGAAATAACCATAGGTTTGATTGTCCCAAAATTTAAGGTTAAATGTTTTAACAGGGTACATACAAAAAAGACACTTAAATTAGGGTTGGACTCACCTTCATCATAAGACAATGGCAGAGACCTGTACACGGAGGGATTCAACCACTGGCAATAGCTGAAAATAAGAAAATTAGTATCCAGATGCTACTTTGACAACAGTATGTGGATTTGTTTAAAAATGTATGCTATCAGTAAAGAGTTGTAATATAACATGTAATATAAAAAGCACTAAGCGTTGTGCTCCAATATGAATATGTGGTAACATAAGATTGTGGTAACAAAGTGGATCAATGGTTGACTTGTAACTTTTGAGATTAGGTCAAAGTGGATCAATGGTTGACTTGTACCTTTTGAGATTATGCCAAAATGGATCAATGGTTGACTTGTACCTTTTGAAATTATGCCAAAATGGATCAATGGTTGACTTGTAACTTTTGAGATTATGCCAAAGTTGATCAATGGTTGACTTGTACCTTTTGAGATTATGTCAAAGTGGATCAATGGTTGACTTGTACCTTTTGAGATTATTCCATAGTGGATCAATGGTTGACTTGTACCTTTTAAGATTATTCCATAGTGGATCAATGATTGACTTGTACCTTTTGAGATTATTCCATTGTGGATCAATGGTTGACTTGTACCTTTTGAGATTATTCCATAGTGGATCAATGGTTGATTTGTACCTTTTGAGATTATTCCATTGTGGATTAATGGTTGACTTGTACCTTTTGAGATTATGCCAAAGTGGATCAATGGTTGATTTGTACCTTTTGAGATTATTCCATTGTGGATCAATGGTTGACTTGTACCTTTTGAGATTATGCCAAAGTGGATTAATGGTTGACTTGTACCTTTTGAGATTATTCCATTGTGGATCAATGGTTGACTTGTACCTTTTGAGATTATTCTATAGTGGATCAATGGTTGAATTGTACCTTTTGAGATTATTCCATAGTGGATCAATGGTTGACTTGTTGTGCAGATAGAAGTCAGTTGGTAGTTCCCATATGTTTGGACCAGTCTCGCTTGGCTCAAATACACCAAGGAACAAATTAATGGCATGTTGTTTGTCAGAATCTGAAACATAGAATAGATGACATTGTAAATACTTTGTCTTTTTAATCCATGAACTTTCTACCATCTAATTGGTCTCTTGTGCTGTATTTACTATTTAGTCTAGTGTTTGAACTTTGTACTGTTTCCCATGTTCTCCTTCTCACCATTCCTTCAAGATTCAAGCTGCTATTTAGATAAAGACAGATCAATGCGTTACATTATATATGCAGGTGTAGCAATAACTGATGAATAAATCACAAAATAATGGTAGCTGTGCTGTAGTAGCAACTTCTAATTGTGGTCATATCATATTGACCACTAAGAATAAGAAAAAAATAATTTAGGTGACTAGGATAATCCTGGTGTACCTCCTCAAAATTTGACGACCTAGACGTTTTCAAATTACAGACTAAATGAGGTTGTTTATTTAGCTACCTGAGAACGCATTGCTGTAATATCGGGACAGAGTCTGCATTATATCCCTGGAGTTGGATGTCCATGGTGAGGTCTTCCTGTAAGTCTGGATCCTATGAACCAGCTGAGAGCCGCCATACTGTAAGGCCAAAGTATCTCCTTGGTCCTCATATAACTCCTCAAGCATCCTAAATACATGCACAACTTAACACTGTCAGACTATATTGACCTTGTCCCTCACATAGCATGTTGCATAATACCTAGTGCAAATCACTATGCAACTTTGGATAAGCTTTAAAATGATATATGACACACACCATGGAGACATTGATATATATTGGTATGGGGTCTCATACATTCAGGACACCCTGTATTCTATGTTTAATTTCATTGTACAGTAGCACCTTTGCTATTCCTCAATAAATTGCCTTTTGTCCAAAAGACAATAGTATATTTAATTATAATTGAATCACCATAGTAAATTCTGCTTTTACCTGACACAATCTGTATCAAACTCCAGCTCTGGTGAAGCAATGACCCCTAACCCATACAGCTGAAACAATAAAAGTCATTGGTATTATGTTGAATTAGCATACTTACGAATATACATGTATATTACATGTATTTATATGTACATAAAACAATACAAAACTGCACTTGCACACAGCATTTTAGAGGCACACTTATCAAATCTTCTCAACTTGAACATCCCTTAGATGAATACCTCAGTAACATGGACACTTTATCATGTATCCATTTTCGTTTTCATTCAATTCATTATCTGACCAGGTGTTTAATTCAGATCTTGGAGAACACACTTAAACCTGAACAGAATTTAACGGTTCCAAATCATTTTCAGCATACAGAGGTTTTAATGTTATAAGTAACACTTTTTTGAGTACATTTCACACTCCAAAACATTGAATGTGTTCATCATATTGTATCCTGAATACTAGCAATATGTTCCTTTATTTCAACCTCTTAAAATACAGTATGCCAAGCGACAAAATTGACAAAGGCCAATCTGAAAAATTTAAAGCATGAAGACAAAAACAGAAAACCGAGAACACTACAGATGTACCACTACCAACCTGATATGCCAATGCACATTTGCCAACAGCGAACTGGGCCGTGTTGGTTCTGTCCAGACAATCAACACAGTTTGTACGTATGATGCCCCTCTGGAGCCAGCCAGTCTCAGTTTTAATGCCATCAATGCCCTGCCATCTAAAAGTAAATGAACAAAGAGCTTAAGAGTTGGATACATTAAAGTGAGTATAATCTGAAAATCACTCCTAAATTAGCTAATCCGTTTTCTTGGATTAAAAGGATATTTTCAAAAAGTTCATGCATATGCAGTGTAACTCACTAGTCACCTTTCATGTGGTGCGTTCTTTCAAGTGTGTATTCTCCTTTCATATGGTGTACTCTATCTGTTCATGTAATGTACTCATGTAACATTTCACAGTTCATGTGGTGCACTCACCTTTCATGTGGTGTACTGTGGTAGTACTAACCTTTCATGTGATTTATTCATCTTTCATGTGGTGTACTCTCACCTTTCATGTGGGGTGTTTTGCATTTCGTGCAGTATACTCACCTTTCTTGCAGTGTACTCACATTTCCTATGGTGTGCTCGCCTTTCATGAGTTGCATTCAACTTTTATGTGGTTTACTCTCATCTTCTATTTGGTTTACTTTTCTTTCATATGGTGTATGTAATGTGGTGTGCTCACCTTTAATGTGGTGTTCTCACCTTTCCTGCAGAGTATTTATGTGACCAACTGCACTTTAAAGTTTATAGTTGCATTTATAGATGGCACTATATAGATTTCATGTTTCAATTCACATAAATAGCTGGCACATAAATGTGCAACTTCCTCTTGCTTACAGTCACTACAATAGCCACATATATATTTTTACCTCTCCAGAAAATCTACAAAATCATCCACAATCGTTCATATTGGTAAGCCATCCACTCTTTATTTTACTTTTATATGCTTTATTAGATATTACTTGATTAAATACAACACATATTTCTGATATTTTACCAATCATTTATGGTATTTTTGTCAACTTAGAAATGTATTGTAATTTTTATTCAGGCAGTGTGTTAGGCCACAGATTCACCACCATTGGTTCCCACATTTCCCTCAAGCTCAAAGCAAGAGCCAGTTCTGTAAGTTAACATGCCAAACATTCAATTAAGTTAGCATTCATGTTGTCAAATGTAAAATAGTCAAATTAGATTGTGTTTCAAATAAACTTGCCAATGCCATTTCGTACTGTAATATTGATAAGCCTTGCCAATGCCAATGCCATTTCGTACTGTAATATTGATAAGCCTTGCCAATGCCATTTCGTACTGTAATATTGATAAGCCTTGCCAATGCCATTTCATGCAATGTTATTATTATATTGTAATTGCTTGTTATGATTTGTTTCTAGCCCCTCTGGCTCTGTAAAGTGAATAAATTGACGTACACCACAAATCTAGTCGTTCGGTCGTTCACATATGGTACTGCGGGCTAACAACAACAACAACAAAGTGCAGAGCCAGAGAAGAACTGTAATCCAACAACCGAGATTCTATATCTGGGATAGACAACCGAGACTCCATGTCCGAGATTTGATAACCGAGATTCCAGGTCCGAGATTCCACAACCGAGATTCATGTCAGGGATTCGATAACCGAGATTCCAGATTCGAGATTCGATAACCGAGATTCCAGGTTCGAGATTCGATAATCGAGATTCCAGGTTCGAGATTCCACAACCGAGATTCAATATCCGAGATTGAACCGATATTCGACAACCAAGATTGGACAACTAAGATCGACAATCACGTTACAGATGATAACAGATGTACTGTATATGCAGCATCCCGAAGTCAACAACAGATATGTAATGTATAATTGATTATCATGATATTCAATATCAGAGTTACCCTCAAATGTGAACACTAGAACAGCCAAAACCTACAAGTCACAGTGGTCCCGATCCATGAATATCCACATGAACTCTGATATTCAGCAATTCAACAATTAGGTTGAGCATTGATATTCACATGAACTCTGATCTGATATTCAGCAATTCAACAATTAGGTTGAACATTGATATTTACATGAACTCTGATATTCAATTTTTAAATTTGAAAAGGTGAAAATGTACATGAACATTGATATTCACATGAACTCTGATATTCAATTTTTAAAGTTGAAAAGGTGAAAATGTACATGAACATTGATATTCACATGAACTCTGATATTCAATTTTTAAAGTTGAAAAGGTGAAAATGTACATGAACATTGATATTCACATGAACTCTGATATTCAGCAATTTAACAATTAGGTTGAAAAGGTGAAAATTCACATGTACATTATTGACTCTTGATATTCGACAATTATGATCAACTGAACTGATAGTTATCCAAGTTCTAAATCAGCTGATTGCAGGTTGAGAAACATTGACACTGTACTACACAGCTGTATTAATTCTTGCTGATTCAGTGTGCATTGATAATTGAACTTCAGTTTATCCCCATTTATTGAATTCATATTAAAGTACATACAGGTATTATATCGTCTTGCATATATGTACTGCTGACCAGGTATATTTTAAGCAGGTATTTGTGTATGAAGTACCCCAGTGTTATTGTAAACCTTACATGTGCAACTGTGTCATGCCGGTATTAGTGTAACAATCAAATCATCTCAAGTACAGGGTAGTTTTTAAATATTAGCTTCAAGGTAACACAAGGTGATCAAAATTTTTTTCACTTAGGCTTGGTTAGGTTTCATAGTTAGGCTCAGGTTGCCCAAACATAAAAAACCTTGTAGTAGATTATTCAAATTCGGTTCCACTCTACAAATACAGGGTGTTCCAATTTATTTCACACAGTTTACCTGGTGTCCTACATTTTCAACTCTGTTTATATAGAGGTAGTCTTACAATTCTTAAAACTACAGGGTGTCCCAATTTATTTTACACAGTTTACCTGGTGTCCTACATTTTCAACTCTGTTTATATAGAGGAAGTATTACAATCCTTATTACTACAGGGTGTTCCAATTTATTTCACACAGTTTACCTGGTGTCCTACATTTTCAACTCAGTTTATATAGAGGTATACTTACATCCTTATAGCTACAGGGTGTTCCAATTTATTTTATACAGTTATAAACTTATACCAGGTGTTGCAGATATTTAACTCTGCTTATATAGCGGTAGTCTTACAATCCTTATAGCTACAGGGTGTTCCAATTTATTTTATACAGTTATAAACTTATACCAGGTGTTGCAGATATTTAACTATGCTTATATAGCGGTAGTCTACAATCCTTATTGCTACAGGGTGTCCCAATTTATTTCATACAATTATAAACTTACACCAGGTGTTGCTGATTTTTAACTCTATTGATTATAGAGTTATACTTACCATCCTTATTGCTACATGGTGTCCCAATTTATTTCATACAGTTATAAACTTATACCAGGTGTTGTAGATTTTTAACTCTGTTAATATAGAGTTATACTTACAATCTTTCTACTACAGAGTGTCTTAAAATATTTCATACAACTATAAACATATACCTGGTTTTAATAGTTTTTTAACTCTATTAATTATAGAGTTATACTTTAACTATAGGGTGTTTCAAATTATTTCACACATCACGTATACCTGGTATTACAAAAATAGGTTAATTGTACATATACTACTATCATACTTTATTGATACAAATTGAGTACAATACGCACATAAGGATGGCTACACCAACAAGTGAGGACAAATACAAAGAGGCGTACATGAGGCTGCAAAAGGAAAAGAAACAGCAAGATGAGGAGATACTCCGACTGGACCACATCAGAAAGGAAGCTGAACTCAAGGCTAAACAGTTGGAAAAATCACGAAAGGAGATGGAAACCCAATTGAAAGATATAAGCAAACCATATAAAATGGTCATTCCGGAGCGGAAGAAATTAGACTTTTTTAAAGGCAAGACAGACTTTCAGGAGTGGAAGGAAGATGCGATAAATTACCTGAGGTACAAGGATGAAGAGGAACACATAGACCTACTGATGTACCACCTAAAGGGGGAAGCAAAACTAGCAGTCAAGAATGATCAGCTGGAAACCATAGATGAAATATTTGATGCCCTTGAATTGACATTTGATCAAAAAGAGGCACCTGGTGTATTAAAATCTAAATTTTACACCCGAAAACAAAAACCAAATGAAAGTGTGATGCAGTATATTTTGTCCCTCACTAAGTTGATGGATAAATGGCAAAAAGCCACCGAAACACCTCTTACTGCAACAGAACAGAACAACATCCTCAAAGAACAATTCATCGAAAATCTTTCAGTTCCGCAGTTGAAGTGGGAACTACACAAATATTTTCGTGATCATCCTGATGCTTCATTCAGAGATATGAAAATATTTGCATCACAATATACTAAGGATGTTCCATGTAATGATGCTTCTACTGACGACCCAGACATCGAAGTATCTGCCATTGCTACATCCCTGAGAGATATTGAATCGAAGATGAGCAACATGATTGAGCAAAACTTCAAGGAAATCAAAAAACTCACTGACGGCATGCAAAATTACGTTGAAACTATTAAAGATGATATCAAAACTGAAGTAACAGCCGATCTTAATACAAAGCTCCAATCTCTTACTCAGGAACTGAAGCAAGAAATACGTCAGGAAACTAATAGAAGCAGAACAAAGTGTACACATTGTGGTCGATGGGGGCACGCCATTGAACGCTGTTTCTACAATAAAAACAAGGACACAACACAAAGTACATATACACAACAGCAGCCAAAAAACTAGTTTTGCCCCCCACTAACAAAAAAGTGGAGGGGCAGTCTTCAATTGAATCCAACAAAATGCATCATAAATCAGATAATGAGACTACCTTCTCGGAAAACCTTATTGGTAATGAAGCCCTTATACATACAAGCATTAATAACAATGACACAATTTCAATGTTGGTTGATACAGGTTCCCGAGTTTCACTGATATATGAAAGCTACTATAATCAACATCTAAAAGGGCAATCAAATATAGAAAATTGCTTCATTAATTTAGTAGCTGCCAACCATACTCCTATTCCATACATTGGTTTTATCGTGGTCGATATTGAGGTTGCTGGCACAAAAATCAAAGATGCAAACATAATAGTGCAAAAAGATCCTGAAAACAAGAATAATAAATCAA